GGGCGGGGCTTGGGGACAGGAACAGACAGCCCCTGGCTGTCCCAGGCTGGATTTTGCAATTGCTCCAGCAGGGATGGCCAGACGACCAGGAATTTGAGATCCCTGCTCTATGCCCACTTCTGCCACTGATTCCCTGTGCCTCCATTTCCCCTTCTGTACCACGGGGGAGACTCTTCACTTCCTCCCAGGGATGTGATGCTAGCACAACATCTACATAACAAGCAGTGAGCCTGATTCCCCCCCCTTGTACTGGTGTCCATCAGCTGTACCCCACTCCACCCACTGAGTTTGACTGTCATCTCTCCCGCTGGGAGCAACCCCATGGAAGCCACTGGCTGTCATGCTGGTGTGACTATGGAATGACAGCAATGAAGTCAATGGAGTGACACCAGCATAAAACTGGTGTGAGGTGGACTGGGATCAGCCCTCAGACAATACCACAATCCCATTCCTTGGTGGGGGATTTCTTTGTAGCTTCCTAGGGGCCCTTTGCTGCCGGCAGGTTTCCCTGCAGAGTAACGGGAAGAGCAACCCAATGGAGTGTTTCCAACACGCTCATCGACTGCAAAACATAAATAAGTAAAAGCCAATGCAAAGGGCCGGTGCAGCTTGGAAAGTCGCCGGCGTGAGCCCCCAGCCAGCCCTGCGGCGGCATGAATCAGCCGAACAAAGGAACCCTCGTGGAGCAAAACAATGGGGAAGGAGTTCTAGCCCTCCCCTGGGCATCCTCCCCGTGGTCGGAGAGCAGATCCGCAGGGGAACAGACTCCAAAGAGGTACATTGAAAGGGCGGGCGAACTTCAAACAGCAGGGAATGGGGATTTGGGAAGTATAATGCAAATCTTTCCCTTTTTGTTTTTACATATATACAGAAGTCCGACAAGAAAACAATGGACACAGTGCAACGTCTTGGCGGCTTTGCAGCCAGAACTGGCTTAGTTGTGCATTCGCGGTGTGCCTCAGACTCACACCGCCTAGATAAATAAAAAGCTGTCCTCCACGGGCCTCCGACGCCCCCCTGGAAGCCCAGTTCTAAAGCCTCATGGCAGTCTCTGGAGGGGGAGGCGTTTCTCAGAGGTGCCGGGGGCTCGGGTGCCCGTTATGGTACAGCTTCTGTTTGATGTGCACCATGTTCCCGGTGGACTCCTCATACTGCCTGTGGTTACGCTTCCGGAACTCCTTCAAGTTACAAAACTTCGGAATCCAAGACCAAGAGTTGTCTGGAAGGGGAAAGGAAAGAGCAACAGGCGGTTAGTGGCGGGGCGGGTCAGGACGCCTCCCGGGATCAGCTCGCGACAGCCGCAGCTAGAGAGCTCTCGTTCAGGTGGGACCAGCTGGTGCTTTTAGTTGGGGAGATTCCGGCGCCAGGCCCCGGCATACTGGCCGAGATGGCAGCGGGGCGTGAGGCATCCTGAGACACTGTGTATTTAGTGGTGAGACAAGCCAGCCCTGGCATTCTAGTCCTGACTCAGCACCTGGCCCGTTGTGTGGCCTGGGAGCTAGGTGCTTCCCCGTCTCCATGTGCCTCAGTTTCCCCATCTGAAATCTGAGGCTAGTAGTAGTGGCGTGCATTACAAGAGGGAGCAAATCCCCGCTGTGTAGTATAGGTTGGACCTCCCCGGTCTGGCACCTTTGGGATCTGACCAGTTCTGGATGAGCAATTTTGCTGGATGAAGGGAGTTCATATCTGCCCCCAGCCCCTCCAGCCCTGGACTGGCCACTGGCCTCCCAGCCAGCTCCCCCACTGCCGCCAGCCCCACTGCCCTGCTGGCTACCTCCAAGCCAGGTGGCCCAGCTCCAGCCCCGCTGGGGCACATAGGCTCACAGTCCCACCATGCAGCTCCGCTACTGTGCACTGGGTTCCCGGTCCTGTCAGGCAACCCCGCTGGGTCACACCTGGCAACCCAGCTGCAGGGAACCCAGCCCCCAGCCCTCCACTGGGACTCTCTGGTCCTGAACATCTGTGGTCCCTCTGGAATTGTCTCCTTCTGGGCCCTGGAAGTTGCCGAGAGCATCCTGGTTTACAGAAGGTGGGATATGATAGAGGTCTATAAAAATCATGACTAGTGTGGAGAAAGTGAATAAAGAAGAGTTATCTACTCCTTCCCATAACACAAGAACTAGGAGTCACCCAATGGCATTAATAGGTAGCAGGTTTAAAACAAACAAAAGGAAGTATTTCTTCATGCAGTGCAGTCAACCTGTGGTACTCCATGCCAGAGGATGTTGTGAAGGCCAAGACTATAACAGCATTCAAAAAAGAGCTAGATAAATCCATGGACGATAGGTCCATCAATGGCTATTAGCCAGGTGGGCGGAGAAGGTGTCCCAAGGTTCTGTTTGTCAGAAGCTGGGAATGGGCAACAGGGGATGGATCACTTGAGGATTCCCTGTTCTGTTCATTCCCTCTGGGGCATCTGGCATTGGCCACTGTCAGCAGACAGGATACTGGGACCTTCGGTCTGACCCAGTCTCGCCATTCTTATGTTCCTTAAACCATTGTTTCAGGCAGCTTGCAAACTCAGGAAAACACCCCACAAGTTAGGGCTTAGTTCTTTCACAATTGTAAAGCTAGAATGTTTTAAGCGAGTATTGAAAGCCAGAAGCAAACATCATTCCCTTTGTACAGGCGTGTATATTCTAGGGTAATGGCTCTCTAACCGCAACCAGGCAGATTTGAACCTGTGATCTTTAGAACTTAATGTAGAAGCTACTACAGCTTGAGCTATAAAGCCAGGTGGCTTCTTCTTATCTCTTGCTGTAAATGGTCCCAGTGCCACTCCATGGGACAGCAAACCACACTCGCTGCACGGGTTACAGTTCTCAACCGGAGGTACCCGTACCACTGGGAGGAGCAGAGATCTTCCTTGCAGGCACATCAGCTCCTCTAGATATTGGCCTAGTTTTACAATGGGCTACATAAAAGCACAAGTACAAACTGAAATGTCATACAGACAATGCCTTGTTATTACTGCTCTATATACCCTACCCTCAAATGTAAGTACAATACTTATTTATAATTATATGGCAACAAATGAGCAAAGGAGCAATTTTTCTGTACTAGTGTGGCTGTGACACTTTTATATTACAATGTCTGATTTTTGGTAAGTTTGTGAGTGAAACTTGGGGAGAGGGCCTACGCAGGACAAATCAGACTCCTGAAAAGAGTTTGCAAAGGTTGAGAGGCACCACTCTAGGGAGGCTGTGACTGGTCTTTACCAAACACAGCTCCAGCCCCTAACAACAGTCTGCTGTGCTTGCCCCCTAAAAAGGACGATTATTACCATCTTGGAAACAAGCTGAGAGACTGCCAGACAGGCCTTTTCCTTCTAAAAACGCTCCCTAGCTACAGGCAAAGGGCCCTCCAAATATTAGGACAATAAAAGCCAAACATAAAGCTCTGCATTTCAAAGGCGTTAACTCCATTTTCTTTTGATTCTGACCGGACCTTTATCACAAGGTTCGGAGGATGTTAAGGGGTGTGTTTGCCACGGTACCATGCAGGCTGGGGACTCTGGATAGAAACACTGAACTTCGGTTAAAAGTGTGGCTGCGGGATACACCTGTCAGTCTTAGGCTTTGTCTGCACGACGTGGCTTTTAGCAACACAGGTGGTATGCCGATCTTGCGGGAAAAGGGGTTTTTGCGCAAAAAGAGAACATCCACACTGCTTGTTTTTGTGCAAAAACCCCAGTGCAAAAACGGATCGGCAGAAAATATGCACATGAGATCGCGACTCTTGCAAATTAGTCCCTCATTAGCATATTTTTGGCCAGAAAACTCATAGTGTAGACGTAGCCAGACAGCGCTCACACATGTTGACTATCAGCGACAGGACTGTGGCGACAGAACCTGCTGGCTAAAAGCTGCGTAGTGGAGACGCACCCTTAGCTCGTAAGAGGCTCCTCAGGGGACTGATTCATTGGCAAAAGTCTGTGAAGCCAAAAAGTATTGCACCCAGCCACTGGGCACTGGGAACACCTCAGCGCGTCCTTGCAGCTACAAGCCCAGTGCTAATTTCATTTCCGGCCCTGCTCCGCTACTGCTGCTTTATTTCACTTTCATTTCAGCTTGATGGGACTCATCCGGCGTGTCGGTGACAGAACCCCCGACCGACCGGCCACAGCCCATCATTCTCAGCAATGAGGCTGCTTAATTATGCCAAATGGAGTCAGTCCTCATGCTGGGTTCCCAATAAAGGGGCCAGCTGTGAACCACAGTCTGTGCTTCTCCAAAGCCCCAGCTTCATCTGCAACCTCCCAGGAGAGCAAGGCAAGCGCAGGAGGCAAAGCCAACAGGCAGGAGCCTGCCCCTCACAGCACTCCATCCTACCGAGCACCCAGTAGGACAATGCAGCTAGGACTAAAACCGCTGCTCACCCGACATATGCAGCCTCCGGCATGTCGAGTTTCAGGATACTTGGGTCATTTGCTGAAGGCCCCAGCAGCTGGAGTTGGGTGACAAGCTCCGCCGCTTTCTTTTGGTCTGAAAGGCAGGGCCGGCCTTACCATGAGGTGAACTGAGGCAGCCGCCTCAGGTGCCAGACTGTGGGGGTTGCCACTAGGACCCAGAGTGTCGAAAATTGTGTCTGCAGAGACAATACATATGCACCAGCAGCAGTTCCATGAGAGGAGTAGACCAGGAAGAAGGCAGAATCGAGAGCTTTCAATGTTTTGGCCCAAGCGAGAGGACAAGGGGACGTCATTTGAGCTCCCTGCCTCAGGTGCCAAAATGTTGAGAGCCGGACCTGCTGAAAGGGGAAATGTTTCGCCACAGGTTCGCTTAGAAACAGGACCCCTAAAGGCTCTGAAACCAGAAGGCGAAGGAACCGGTCCACACGCTTGTTTTAGGCCCATGATTGTGGGTACCTGGCTGGCGGTTTTTCTTCATAGGGCAAACTGAGGCAAACCTGGCATTGCCCAGCGCAGGGCACGACGTGCTCCGGGGACAGCCCTGCCAGGTACCCAGCGAGGGGGCTGCCCCTGCAGGGCCCCGTTCAGCATTGTCCCTTTGCCCCCCTGCACTAGCAGAAAGGAGTGCAGGGTGCCAGTTCACTTTTTCCCTTGCTGTGCCGGCAGGCTCTCTGGGGACGGGGATTCCAGGGTGGGCCAAAGGAGACGGAGCTAATGGGGTCTGGGCAGGCCAGAGGGAGTTGGCGGGACTGTGTGGAACCCATACGCAGCACCCTATGGAAGCAGGGTTGCAGCTGTCCCCCCAGGGTTCCCACCAACCCCTGGCGCTGCTGAATGGGGGAGGTGCGAGCCGCCTCCTGCACAGTGATGGATCCGGCCCAGGGAATCCATCCCAGGTTTTAGTCTAAGCCCTTCGGGGGCTTTGCACAGCCAATCAGGCTGCGCCAGTGTAAACTCCCCGGGGAGATTCTGCCCCCTGCTGGAAGCCAGTGGGGCTAGTGGCAGCTTTGCTTGACTCCACTAGGGCTCTGCAAGATGTCAGGGACAGCCACCTGGCCGGTACCGGAGGCTCCCTGCCAAGACGCTCCTAGGGGGACACCCCAGACTAAAGGGGGGGGTGTTCTTGGAGATGAGCCGTGTGCAGTTTGTTCGGGGGAGGTATCCACTTGCCCCTGAGCACTTCCCAGAGTAGCTGATGTCCCTCAGCTTGTGCTCAGCAGAGCAGCCAGGCCCCTGTGTGCCTACAGCCATCCCAACACACACCACCCCAACAGGTGCATTCCCATGGAAAGGCACCTGCGCCCTGTATGCCTGGCCATATACACCCCTGCTCCCAAACGCACACCGCCACGCAACGCTCACTCCCAGCCACACAAACACTTGTGTGTGCGTGCAGGTGGGAATGCCTAGCCACCTGCACACCAAAGCACAGGTGCACACGCCCAGCTGCACAGACACCCGAGAACACACCTGTGCACGAAACCGAACCAACCGCTGCACGCGCAGAGCCGAGCATGGGAGTGTGCACAAATGCTGGCACACGGGGAGAATGGCAACACTCACACACCTCTACAGGCCACCTTTGCATTCAAGACCTGCCCTCCCTACCAGCATCACAGCCGCACTTTTGCACACTCGGCCGAGGGACAAATTGCAGCTTCCCCCCAGGGCTGGTCCTACCATGAGGCAAACTGAGGCAGCCGCCACAGCTGCCAGACTGTGTGTCCGGGGAGGGCACCACTAGGACCCAGAGTGTAGAAAATTGTGTCTGCTGCTGGTGCGTATTTAGGTAGCAGAGCAGGGCCACGAGAGGAGTAGACCAGGAAGAAGGCAGAATTGAGACCTTTCAAAGTGTTGGCCCAAGCGAGGGGGAATGGGGGCGTCATTTGAGCTCCCCTCCTCAGGTGTCAAAATGTTGTGGGCCGGCCCTGTATCCCCCTCTGCAGCTCTTCCCCAGGGTTGCCCAAAGTGCTGGAGGCCATTGGATAGCTCCCGAGGCATCCCCACTCCACATCACCGCCTCTCGCTGCAGGCTGGGAAGGGATTTCTTCTTCCCAGGCACCTGGTGGGTCCTATTTTCTCTAGAACATTGGCATGCGTGGTCTGGGAGGCCTAGAGGAGTAGACAGTGCAATTTAGTGTCCTTACGAATCACTGGCTACTGAACCCCTCTAAAGCACAGAGGGCATGTTACACAGGCCAGCGAAAGGAAGGAAGGAAAGAGAAGCTAGCTACATCCAAGAGACAGGCGGGCCCCTTTCCCCTTTCCGTCACTAACAATTGTCCGTGCACCGGGGGATTAGTTAAAGCTTCCACCCTCACCAAGTCCGCTCTCAAGGACTGTGATGTTCCAGCCTTCTCTCTCACGCTCCTCCCCTCCAAGTGCTAATCTAGCCCAGCCCTGCTGAGCTCATACAATCTGCCGGGCGGGTGGCCTCAGGTGGTATGGCTGGAGGGAGTAGGGATGTAAAAGTTTAGTCGATGAACCAATTAACTGATAAGCAAAAGCATATACGTCAATGCTGTAGATTACATGCACCCTTACACACACCCTTGTAAACTTTTTAGCAAGCTGGCCAGCAGCCTGGCTCAGTCCTGGCTTGCGCCGGGTTCGGGCCCTACCCCTGCTGCGGCTCTGCATTTAAAGTGGATTAGGAGCCGGGCGAGCAGGCAGCCCAGCTCAGTTCTGGCTCGCACCGGGTTCGGGCGCTCAGACCCATCCTAGACGGGGGCTGCTGCCACCCCATGCTGCTGCCTCTTTATCAGCACAGGGTGGCAGGCAGCCCATCCGTGAGGGGAGCTGGTTTTTAAACTGGCTCCCCTTGTGGACCAGCTCCCGCTTGGCACCCTGCACTGCTGCCTCTAATACAGCAGGGGGCTCCCCAGGAGTGGGGCTGGAGCGCATTGGCTGCCGGCCCCACCCCCGGGGACTATAGAATAGTCGACTAACCAATAGGAATTCATGAGATTACTCGACTTTTCAATTAACTGATAGTTAACCTCCCTCGGAGGGAGGGCAGCCCCCATCGTTAGCCCCCATCGTTAACCCCCATCGTTAACACTCTTGCAGGACTCCTCTGCAAATGAGCCTTCCCCTTTGGCATAGATCACACAAGAGTCTCACGAGCCATCCCAATTCGGAAACTGCTGCATCAGGTTGCTGGGGGGCTGGACGCTAATGAGAAATGAATCCCTTTTTGATGGACGTTTTTAGAAAGAGGCAGTCAGTTTCCCTAATTAGAATTTTTGATGGGTTTGCTCATAGAGCTTTCTTTAAAAAACAAAAAAGCAAATTGTAATTTACCAGACATTCTCCACTGGCATTTCGAGTGTGTCATTGACAGAGACACTGATTAGGCGAGAAGACTGCAAGTCGTCCCGCGTTATTTGAATCCATTTTCACCATTTCTTTTTCCGATCACAACCCTAGGGAAAGCCTGTGCGAGAAAACTAAGGGGCTCGAGAGAGAAAGGGAGTCTAGAGCCTTCCCTCTCCACCTCTGGGGCTGGCTGCTGAACTAAATGGGCCACAGGTTTGATGCAGCATGTTTCCGCCTTTGTTCCGATTGCTCCTGCTCTCAGCTAAACATGGCGTCCACCCACCCCTCCCTTCCCAACTGAGGCCACTGCCAAAGGGAGATTCCCCAAAATGCCCAGCGCAAAGGACCACACCGGCAACAACAGAGATCAAACGTGGGAAGCCTCAAGACTTCTTTCTCTGAGAAGAGAGGAGGAGCGGGGCAGAGAATTTCATACATCACGGGTGATGGGTGAAGCCCCGCTGGGGAAGGCAAGCCCAAACCTCATCCCTTCTTTCCAAAGCCACACACTTGCCCCTGAGACCACGCTCCACTTACCCCCCTTCCCTCCGAGCCCAGCCCGATCCTTCCTGGCCATCCAGCAGGCCAGGGCTGTTTTGCTGCGGCCCCAGCCTTCCCGGGTGGCCAGGCAGTTTTGGGAAGGCAATGCCTTCCCTTGACTACATTACCCGCCGCCCATGCAGATCCATTTAACTTCCTCTTGCCCACACAATGATGCCTCGCTGCAAGTACACACATATAAATATTTACACAAGCTTCATGCGAACTTCAGCTTTCCATCAAAATTCCCAGAGTGCCACAAATTCAGCCAGCCAAGGTGGACATGGTCATCTATTTTATTGGCCCAACTTCTAGGTGAGTGACAAAGGAAGAGCTCCAGGTAAGCACAAAAGCTAGTCTCTCTCACCCACAGAAGTTGGGCCAATAAAAGTTACAACCTCCCCCACTTTGAATCTCTAACATTCTATAATCTACCCGGCTACAGCAACTCTGCACACAACAAATTTACATGTGCCAACAACAGGCCTTTCCGTGTACATCTCAGTACATCCAGCAAACACCCCTTAGTTCCTGGTGATCACATGCCAGTAGCAATCACTTTCCAGCAAATCCTCCTCATGGAAGCACATATTCTCATGCCAACATTTACGGTATATTTCATTTTTATGCACACAGAGCGAGAATTCAATCAAACACGCCTATGATAAATTAGCCAAAACCTCAAACCCTCTGGAAAGAATCTGACCCCCTCCCCAAAGCCTGGACAAGAACCAAGCAAACATCCTTTGATGAGACAAAGGACTCTGGGGCTCACTTACCGTACCGTCGACTGGTTCTCCAGGCTCGCACTGCATAATGGAGAACTCCATCCATCCACACCAGAAACCAGCTTATACAAAAGCCCAGCAAAAGTCCCAGCATCAGATCAATCTCCTGCTTGGTCACATTGTCGGTCACAAAGTAATTCTCCGAAGAATCCACCACCGATTGATCCCCGTCGTATGGGATGACGTAATGTACATGATGCCTGTTGCAGGGGGGACAGAAAAGGGAGAAGCATCAGCAGAGGATAGGAGAAAACATGCTCCATTCATCAGCCCCTGGTGCAGGGGGCAAGGTAAGAGCATCAGCTGCTCTCGTAAAGTACGATTGAGAAACTTTTTCTTTAATAACGTCCAGCTCCCATTGTCAGGTGACCCCCCCCCCCATCAGTTAACCCAAGTTCCCCCACCAGCTGATTCATGCTTAGTTCCCAGCCCATCTGTACAGGCTGCTTCTTCCAGGGGGCACCATTTCTTTCTCCAAGCGGGCGTCCACGGGTGACGCTCTTGGCCTCTGATGGGACCATGCAACCACCATTACAGGTGCACACCAAACCTTGTACGAAGTGGGCCAAGCGAGGGGTCTATTGAACGCTGACGATTTGCTGCTTGTGTTTATGCAGCTCATATGAAAGGGGCATTTTTGTATTCGACGTTACGGGTCTTGGCTCTGGACTTGTACTTCGCACGTTTGCTCTGGGGAGGGGAGCCACAGGCTTCGCCCCCGCCTGTGAAAGGGTTGCGAGTCACATGACTCGTACTTGACTGACAATGGACTTTAACAGGGGCCAAGCCCCGTCTGAGGAACTTTGCTGTGAATGTTCAAGACCCGCATTAAGCCTAAAGGGGACTGAGTCCTGCATGGTCAGGTGACTGGCTCATGTGAGAAACTCCATTTTGGGAGATATTTTCACACAAGGAGGACAGTGGAATTCCCCCCAGAGGCAAGGGTAGAAAGAAGGCCCTGGGGCTTTCTCCAGCTTTGCCTTGAGTCTGGCCGTCAATCACAATGCGAGCTTTATGACAGCTCCTCCCTTCAGGAGCATTTCTGCTATGAGCTGAGCCTGGAAGAACGGATGACCCATCCTAAGAAAGGGTCTATTCCACCTCTGCCGCAAGCCTGCACCGAGGCCTTTGCATCGGGGTATGGAACGTGACTGCGTTCACAGTTTCACTCTCAGCCTTTTCTTTCTTTCACAAGATTCTAAAGGATTGACACAGAGAGCTCTTTGGGGTAAGAGCTGAGGTATAAATTGTCCTGGGGCTGCGGCTGGTCCGTTGAGACGGGAAGAACGGGTCTGGATTTGGTGGGATTTGTTTTCAAAACCTCTCGCCTGCGTAAGGAGCGGTGCTGGTCATGGCACAAGAGAAGCTGGAGTGACTAAAGGGATTGGTTGCGTGACGTCTTGCTGGCCAGAGTGGCAAACCCTTTTTGGTCATTGGTTTGGAGGACCCGCATACTTGGGCTGTACATAGCCCTGTCGCTGAGTGGTGCCCCCAGACACCCGCTCTAGTCCACCATGTGAACAGAGGGCCATGAATGTGTTACGACTCTCAGCTGTTTGCCCTATGTCACTGCCCAGTGGGCGTTCAGTACAACAGGGCTGTAAAACGACACCAGAGAAGACAGGCCAGCCCCCCACTGAAAATGGAGCAGACACAGATACACCCAGCGCTAATCCGAATCGAGAAAGCCCCCAAGCACAGACTTGGCCAGCCCGGAGCACCCTGCCCCAGCCCTGTCCAGCTACAGCTTGGAAATGCTATTCAGTCTCCCAGCCCGACCGGGCTGTGCAATGGGGGAGGGAGCCTGCTGGGACTGGGGCAGCACCAGAGGCCAGGAACAGCTGTGGAGTGAAAACAAAGGGGGTTCAGTGGGGCAGGATGCTGCAGCTGAGACCGTCCCCAGGCGCCAGCTGTTTCCTGGTGCCCTCCCCTTGCTCACATGCTTGGCGCCAGGGTCCTGTGGAGGCACCGAGACCAGTCAGCTAAACCGGTCAGGTGCCCAGCAATGGAGCCTCCCTCCAGCCGGTACTGTCCCAGCCCCAGGGTAGGTGGCAGGCTGGCAGAACTGCATTGTCTGGTGGGCCTGGAGTCCCGCTCGTAAAGGAGGCAAAGGCCAGGCGTGGGGCGTGGAATGAGAGGGAACAGCTAGTGTAGCACCCAGGCGCCCCCAGCCCGCCGGGACACTCACACCACACACTGCCCAGTGCATTACACCTCAGCCCCCAGCCCGCCGGGACACTCACACCACACACTGCCCAGTGCATTACACCTCAGCCCCCAGCCCGCCGGGACACTCACACCACACACTGCCCAGTGCATTACACCTCAGCCCCCAGCCCGCTCAAGACACCTTGTGCCAAGAGCCCATCGGTGCAGAAACTGCCCACAGGGAGGCTCCTGCTGGGACATGGAGCGGGCCTGAGACCCAGCACACTCATCTCACCCCATGCCAAACCCCATGCCAAGCGCGCAGCTGAGCCAAAGGCTCCTCATCATGGCCAAGGGGACTGGCAGAGACTCCAGCCAAGAGCAGAGCCAGCAGGGACACTTCTGTAGCAGAGTCAGCGAGTCAGGAAAAACTGTGCCCCTCCCTGGGGCAAGGGCCAGAAGTTATCGCAGGCCCCAGGCCCCCAGATGGACCTCAGCTCCACATCCTCCCCTTCCCCCCAACCCCACGCAACAGGGCCTTCCAGAATTGTGCCTTCCAAGCTCCGCCTGCCCATACCCCCTCTGCAGTGGTAACGAGGGGCTTTCCCCATTCCTGACCTGGAGCAGCAGAGGCAGGAAGCGCAGGATGTTTTGCTTGGTGTGTGCGGTGGGATCCCCGTATACTACAGCCTGGCACCACGAGAGGGGCTGGAACGCGAACTTGCTGAAAGACTAAGGAGCCTAGAGGCTCAGGAGAGTTATGTCCAGGAAACTGGGCAGGGCAAGGAAGAGGGGACTGGTGGGAAGACGCAGCCGGCAGGCAGGAACGGGCTGTGGCAAAACAAGAGAGATGGGGACGGGGGGCCCAGGGAGCTTGAAGTTCCGTCATGATGTTGTTCAATTGCCCCGGGGAAGAGAGCTGCTCTGGCATGGGCTGTCGTTGCCCCGCGTGGCTGGGAAGAGTGCAGGGCTGGCCCACAACATTTTGGCACCTGAGGCGGGGAGCTCAAATGACGCCCCCACATCCCCTCGCTTGGGCCAAAGCTTTGAAAGGTCTCAATTCTGCCTTCTTCCTGGTCTACTCCTCTCGTGGCCCTGCTCTGCTACCTACATACGCACCAGCAGCAGACACAATTTTTTACACTCTGGGTCCTAGTGGTGCCCCCCCACACCCTGTCTGACACCTGAGGCGGCTGCCTCAGTATGCCTCATGGTAAGGCCAGCCCTGGAAGAGTGCTTGATTAACCCCGGCATCGCAGCTGTCTGCAGCACGCCACTGCAGAACTCTGGTCACTGCAGCGCAGCCGCCCAGCCCGGCCTCCGAGCGCAGGACAGCGGCACAGACACCCTCACCCGCTCCGCTCCTCGCCCGCCGCCAGCATCGGGCCTGCTGCCCTCCCTCGGGGCCCATCCCCCCGACCTCGAGCCAATATTCGGTCACCGGAGGCCTTTGAATATGCATGAGTCTCAGGCTGCTGCATAATCACGCCTGAGAAACGTCCAAATATTTACACAAACAAACCGCGGCGCAGAGGAGCCGTCTGAAAACAGCCGTCAGCTCCGCCATCCCTGAATGGGCCCACCTGCGGCTCAGGCGCCAACCTGCCAGCAGCCCTCAGCGAACCGCACCCAGGCACCAAAGAGCAGGGTGACCAGAGGCCTGTCGGCAGCTACTGAACCCTTCTCATCCCGCCCCCGGCCTCCCTAGAGGGCTGAGAGGCAATGGCCCGGCCGGTGGCTCCCCTGCTGCTGAGCAAAGCTGCCACCCCCTTTCAGGGACTCCTGGTGCCAAGAAGGGGGCCAGGACGCAGCTGGGGGAAGGGCTCTCTCAAGGTGACTGTGCCCTCCGGGCAGCAGGCCCAGCTTACAAGTCGTCTTATTCCTTTGCTTCTCCCTGTGTCCCTGCCTACCTCCCTCGCTGGGCAGAAGGACCCCCTCCCCCCAAGGCTGTCGGCCCTGGGGTGCCACACTCGCTTAGGGCAAAGCTAAGACTCGTGGCTCTTTGGCCCAGGGATCTCTACCTGTTGCAGGGGCTGGATTTGCTCATGGGGCACAGACCCGCCCAACGTACACAGCTCAGCTCTACCTCTGGGTCGCTGTGCTTATTTCCTTGCCTTGGCACCACTGGGCATGCCGAAGGGACCAGATGGCGTCTCCGTGGGCACTGGTGTCTTCGGACTTCAGCCAGAAGCAGGAGGGCCCCATAGTCGCAGAGCCCCACTAACATGCAGCTACTTCTGGGGCAGAGCCTGCCTTCCTCTGCATGTGCGACAGCACGGACACAGCTGTGCCAAAGCGGGGATGGAGTTTGCTCTGTGCCCTTTGTTATGTTGCCTCTGATTCCTACTTGTCCTGTTACTGTTCTAACCCTGTGTGTGTGTGCACGCCTCGGTTTCCTTGGGCACTGCACCCATGCTCGGATGGGGATGGGAATTTGGGGCGTGACTCTCACTGAAGGGAGGCTGCTCTGGGCTGCCCCAGCCCAGCACGTTCACAAGGGCCCAGGCTCTCTTGTAACCTGAGCCCGGGGGGGAACCAGATGACCCCTTTTGCCCGGGAAGCTGGGCAAAGGAGGAGGCAGAGCTCCGCCTGCAGGGGGCAGCACTGAGCACCTTCCTGTCCGCTCTGCGTCGGCCACGAATGAGATTGGTTCTGAAAGCCCAACCTCAGAGGAGCCGTCACTGTCCCTGTTCACAGGGACCCCTCCGACCACAGCTTGCAATGGCACAAGCAGTTCTATTCCCTGTGGGATAATTCTCTGCAAAGATTATAAGTGCCTTACAGGTTACCCCCTTCCGGCCCCCTGCAATGACTCCATGTACCACTGAAATGCAGCCACCTCTGGGCTGGAATGCAGCAATTGCTTAACAGCAGCCAGCAACTTGAAGGTTTACCCGGCATTGCTCAAGTCCTTAACTCAATTCAGTTTTGATTTTTGGGTAATAAAATGAAAACGTCCAGGCGTCATTGAAATCATTGCTCTGGGGTGGGACTGGGGAGGGGGGTTCACTAGGCAGGCTGCCTCAGGGAGAGAGGACAACCCAGACCTCTC